CCTCACCTCTTTACAGCATAGCCATACACACAAAGTTTTCATAATATAGACAACATTTTCCCCTTTTCTCATGAAAAAGACTGCTTGTAAGTTTATTACCAGAAAAATCCTTGCAAATAAGAGTTTGGAAACAATAACAAAAAAATTACTGCTTTCGATGGAGATAATAAGATAAAAATTTGGTGGATCTTTGTGCAGGGGTGCAAACAATGTTTACTCAAAGTGGAAACAAGGCACGGACGAGGCAACAGAGGGTCTTGGGTGTCCCGCTCATGTTGTATGTAATGCTGCTTGCAAAGCTGCCGATGTCTTCCCATTGGTATTAAAGTTGTCATAAAATTGTTCTCTTCTGTATTTATGCTATCCAAACTGAGTGATGAAAGAATTTTTGTGATTTTGTTGGCATTCAGTTTTCTTCAACTCTTTTGCATTCGAAAAGCTATTGGTTCCTTTTAAAAAATGTAGTCGAGAGAATTCTTTATTTGAAGCATTGGAATCATACTTTAATTCTAAAGAAAAGGCCTCACAAATCCTTGATATTTTAAGTAATTCATCCAGTGAAACCTGCTTCTTTCTTGTTCATAGTTTCAATATCTCTTTAGCAATAGGATTGTGTAGAGGATTTTGCAAATTAAAAAGAAAACCCGTGTTACTGAAGCACTCAATTAAAGGAACTTCATTGCATTAAAGAAAGAAGCGTTGAAAGTGTTTGAAAGTGTTAACTCTTTAAGTGTCAAGTCTGTTCTTAAATGGAACTATACCTAGGAAAAGGAAAAGAAACTGACTTAAAAGTGACCATTGCCATGACTACCTTTTGAAATGGATTTTATACCTTAAAGAATTTGATTTGTTTTACATCAGTGTAACTAAGTACCCTTCCAGCATGGAAACCAGTGAACCAATCATGTGTAGTGTTGACGAAGGGAATATAAATTGAGAACAACGCTCATTTTTAAAAGCTGTTGATCAAGAGATATGATGTAATCCAAAGGAATGGGAAAGCAAATCAGCCATAAATAATTTTATGTGTTTAAATCAGATGTAAAGAGTGATTCCCAGAGTTAACCTTCTGCCAGTACATGTTCTGTATATTGGCTCATAATGCTAATGGTGAGCATGTTTTCTCATTAATAATAATAATAATGTTCAATAAACAAAAAACACAAAATAAGTTTCATGTGATTCTTGCAGAAGCTAAGTGTAAATGGAACACAGACTAACCGCAAAGAATGTCGTAAGCAAATCCCACAAAAGAAGGAATTAAGAAGCCAAATCATCAGGGAAATATAATTAAAGAAAGAGGTATATAATTTAGGTATTTATTCTTTATTTCAACACATTTTCATTTTATTTCAGGGTATTTTTAGCATAACTATATCACGTAGTAGTTTTCTTTTATCTGAATCACACATGCATAGGCAATTAGAAACAATTCAAATGTAACCGGGAATACTGTATTTTTATTTGCTAAATCTGGCAACCCTGTGCCAGAGGGACTCTGCCATGGTCTGGTTTCCCCTGGCAGAGATGAAAGGTCACTTATTCCCACAGCCTGTCCAAGGCTGGAGGCCCCTTAACAACTCCTCTGCCAGGGAGCTTGTTAGACTATGACTAGACACTTCCCATCCCAAAGAACCTCCACAAGATAAAGGTCCAGAAAACAGCTTTTCTATTGTAATTTTTCTTGCAGTTTCACTTTCCAGCTATATCTTTTCAATTCCACTCTCGGGAAATAACACAGAGCTCTGCATGAAAACAGCCACTCAATTTATCATATACACAAAGTAGAATCATTGTTTTAAACTGGAATTATTTTTAAAAATAATTTCAATTTGTATATATAACTGGAATTGAGACTATAGAATACAAGCAACAAAATATACCAGCAAATCTTAGAAAACAATAGTAGTAAAATCCTGATTAATGTTTAGCAGCTCAACTGTGAAAAATATTGGTTATTTTACTTTATCTGGATGTTATTTGGAAGGTATGTCATACTGTAATAAAAGCAAAATATTAATATTCAAGCTAAGAGTCAATACACAGATATTACTATTTCCAGCACCTCTGGGTGCATATTTAAATGACATGTTTTGTGTGTGTGTGTGTGTTTTGTGGTGATGAACAGAACTTGTTATTTACCCAATTCTATTCTCTATTTCTATTATAATAGTAAATTAGCTACTATAATAGACAAAAGTATGACTCTCAGTTAAATAAAAGAGATTTTTTAAAAATCTTGCTACAAAAGAAAAAAAATCAAAAAGAGGATTAAGTACTTTTACTACTGGGCCAAAGGTTAGAATCATTGATAATAAAGTACTTTCACACATCACTTCATTTAATCTTCACGACTCCTGAGAAATGGACATTGTCTCCTACCATATAAATGAAGAAACACTCAAACTGGGCAATACATTTTATGATAACCAGTCACAATTCATCTTCGTGGATGTTTCTGGACTTTACTTTGGGGTGATTTCTATTAACATTTGCCCTAATAACAGTTTTCTAAGGGTGCTACCCAGCTGGTTTCATCTCCTGGGGGCCCTCCTGGTGCTCTGCAGTGCAGGGTCTGGATGGTCCCAGGGACTTCTCAGTACCCTGCATTCTAGCACTCAGCACCCACATCAAGATGGCTTATGCTCCCGCTCACTAGCCTGTGAGGGTCTGGAAGAATGGGACTCTCTTTTTTCTGTGATCTCTGGACCCCAGCACACTGCCTGGCAAATAGTGGTCATCACAAAAGAGGATGTTGTCCCCAGGCTCCTGCTCTAGGCCAGATCTGGCTTGGTGCAGACTATGGAGAACACAGATGACTCAGGTATGGGTCCTAGGAATCTTCTGTCCCAAGTGCAGTGGGGGCACCAAGGGAAAAGAGTGCCCATGTTAGCCCCTAGGCTCTTTCTATGGGACGGAGAGGTAGGAGGCCCATTCTCAGTCCCTGTTCCATTGCAGACCAGACTTGCTGATCTGACCACAAGGGAGTGCCTGGGAACCCCTTGCAGGTTCTCCTTCAAATAAACTGTATTTTCTTCCTGATATTCATTGTTTAATTAGGATGTAGAGGAGGAATGAGTCTCTGGATTGAATGGGAGTTCTGTCCAGTCCTTGGGGCATACTTTGTTGTCATTTCTCCCCGTGTCTTGCATTTTCTCTGCAGCAATAGGCTGCCTTTGTACTTGGGCTCAAGCGCTCTTTGGAGCCAGGATTCCTTGTCACCTACACTGCAGCTGTTCAACCTAACCCCCTCCACCTCTTCCTCCTCAGGATTTTCATAGCATTTGTCTCAGAGGCATTCTTTGTGGCATATTCATTAGAAAAAAAGTGAAGTGGAAACTGCTTTTGAAGAGAAGATTCAAGAGCTCGGAGTGGGAATCCAAGACGGAGTAGTGCATCTCCCTGGGTGACCCTCAGACTTAGAGGTGGGCGTCACTCAAAGACCCTGCCGTGTTTAACCTGTTGGTGCCTGGTGGCACCTAGCCTGGCCCCGTGTGCCCGTTGTCAGGGGTCTCTCTAGATGAGTGCCCTGG